GTTCTAACGGAGAATGCAGCTGATTTAAAGAAAGAAAATGTGCAAAAAAAAAAAAAACACTCAGAAGGTTTAAACAACACTCAATGTCTTATTGTAAACGTTCCACAAAATGGGGTGGCAATTCCTTTATGGAGGAGAGGCTTTTCAAACAGTCTGGCTAGCTGAGTACTTCTGAGTAGGTGGTGGGAGACATTCACGCAAGGCACATTTCAACAACTGACAACTACTGCTTGGCACCAGAACGAGTAAAAGGAAGGGACTTCACAGATTCAACACGGCGGATTTGCAGAACTGCTTGCTCTGTTTTCCTACTGCCCTCACTGAAAGCTGTAAAGCTCAGCCCCTGGTCTATACCAGCCAGATACCTTTAAAGAGTGTGGAAAAAATACATATAAAAGCAAATTAGTTCATACTTAGTGCAGAGATATGGGACACTTTAAAAATGCCTCTATTTTATGCCAACAGTAACCTATTACCAATGTTAAACGGCAACAGCTGCACTGTGTGTCTTGCTGCTCAGGTGAAGGTTGAGCAGCTGAGGCTGACAGGCAGCTCCTCCAAAGTTTGCTTCATTTGTTTGTTTGCTTGTTTGTTTTTAAACAGCAGAGGGACAATCAAAATGCAAATTAAAAGTCAAGCCACGGTAAAGTTACAGACATCCTTGCCACAGAACCATGTCAGCCACAATACACGCATTTATTTTCACTATCTGTAGGGATGATCTTTGTGCTTAACCATATAACACACACAGTTCCTTTCTGTGGTTAGCATATGCTATCTAGGAGATCTGAAGAAATAATAAGTCCCAAGTGAGATCCAAAATATTTCCATTCCTCTCCAGGTCTCCAACTCTTGTTTTCTCCTTTTTCCCTTCTTTCAAGCTCCTGCTCTTCTCCCTCAGTCACACACTACGCAGTCACTCAAACCAACAGAGCCCTGAGCTTTCTCCTTTTAAGAGCTAATCAAGACATGGAGCTCCTTTCTGACTGACATTAGTCATCTCACCCCTTGCTCTTCGTTTCCCCATTTTTCCCTCTTTCTCTCAGAGAAAGGGTTGTGCTTCCTATGGTCTCAGGGTTTTGATTTAGCTTTATTCTTTGTGATTTTCTGCATTAGTCCCAGAGAGGAACAGTACATTTGGGCCACGTAAGCCGTGACCTTTGCTAGCGCACCTCAGTTCTGACTCACAGAGCCAGCCCGCCGGCTGCTCCCAAGCCAAACGGCAACGGCTCATTGCGTGAGCCCAGGTGAGTTTGATCACTCGCCAGGAAAGGAACGTGTCCATCTCCCTTAACACACAGGATCACGTCAAAATGACAGGATTCACAGCGCTATATCCTGTTATTCCTGCCTCGGTCTTCTTTATAGGTCAGTTAAAATAGAAAAAGCGATGCAAAATACAAGTAGAGCATTGTCTCTGTTCACAGTGGACAACACTAGGTGACAAAGTTGCTCAAAGGTAACTGTGCAATAAGGTTACTTAGGGGGAATAACTAAGGGGCTAGATCACCCAGACGAGACAGCAAGGGAAATCGCCAACACTTTGACACTGTCAGTTCCCACTGAAGGAGTCAGATGGGAAAAGCTGTTCAGAAGCAAACCAGCAACCATAGTGTTTTACTGCTCTCCTGCCCCGAGGCAGTGTGACAGGAGAAACACACAAAAAGCCATCTGTGTTCCAGGGGAGGTGCCTTGGGGAAGATTTTTATACAGAGACAGACCACACTGCTATGATTTCAAACACTTCTCCTCAAATTGAGGCTAACACAAGAGGCACAAAGTGAGCTTTACATACTGCTTCCACCCCTTTTTCATGGCCTGGCCCACAGTGTAAACATCTGCCAGAGGCACAGTTCTCATCTGACATCTGTTGCATGTTGCTCTCCAAAGAGTAGAGCTCAACTGCAAACTTAAGGGAAACTTATTACGTCTGTATTTAAGTAGGACCATGTTAAGTATTACATAAGGAGTTTACCTCAACTGACTACAAGAATAAATGTGCTCCCACTCTGGTTAGAGCATAGCTTCATAATTACTCCAGAAGTTTGGAACAGCTTCCGGAATAAATACCATCCACAGACAATCTAATTCAGTACAAGAGATCTTGTAATCTTGTACATACACACCTGTTATAGTAAGGATGGAGGGAGGTCTTAATGCAAGTCCCAAACAGCAGGAGTCAATGGTACCTAACTCAACGTTTCTGCGTGCATGTGCTCTACTGTGTAACTAAAAAGATAGTGATATACACTACGCGGGAAAAGACAAAAACATGGTGGCAGACAGAAAGACTTCAAAATTATCTCCTGAGTTTCTCTGACCTAGACAAAGATGCAAGAGATCACACCTGAAGCAATGAAACACTCATCCCCAATTCAGGATCCTACTTACCAACTGAAAATTGTGTGTACCAACATGCAGCCCGGAAAGAAAGTGACAGAATCACCTCTCCTAGCCGTTTGTGTACACTGTTAGAAACAAGAAACCTCACTTTTTTTTTTTTTTTAATATTAAGAATAAAATAAGATTCTAGGCCACAGCAGCATGAGGAAGACCTCTAAATGTAAGGAAATGCAATTCTGACTTCCTGAGTAAAGAAATATTATTCATGTCTCAGAGCTACCCCAAACATCAGAATTATTAGTTAGTAAAACTTTGATTCTGATACTATCTTGAATTCAAGCCAAACTCTCTTTGTTGATGTTCACAGTTCCCCTACAAAGCTGTAGCGGCTGATGCTGAAAACATTCTTTCAGCAGCCACGTTGCTGGGAAAAAGCAAGGGAGTTTTTCTTTCCTGAACAGCCCAATGCCATGAGCAAAATGGAATGGAGAGGGAGGAAGGGAGAAGAAATCCCAGAGCCAGAGCATGTTAAGGGTCAGGCATGTTAATCCATTCTCTTTCTAGTCAGATAATAAAACAAAAAGAGAACAAACATGGCACAAATTTAGCGGGACGAGATGGCAGAGTGACAAGGAATGCACCTCCCATTAGCGCTGTACAACATGGGGTGTGTGCTGCAGTCACGGGACACACAAGCGGAGTTGCGACAGCCTCATCGAGGCCCTGGCTGCATCTAGCTCCACTGCTGCAGACAGTACTTGGTTATGAATCTCCAGCGTTATACTCCTCACTTTTCCAGAGAAGGATGGTATTCCTACTAGAGTGTTTCAGTGGGGAACTTTCTCCTGGTTCCCAATCCCCATCCCATCCCCACCATCCCTTTGCTCCCAGGGTACTGTCCCGTGGAAAGCAACTAGCAAACATTTCAGATGCTGCATTAATGGCCAAATAATAACCAACACAATACAGAGTAGGACAAAAGGCACAGCTGAAAAGGCACAGCTTGCCATTAAGTTTGCTTCAAAATGGCTGGCTGTGCATGAGCTAGCACATGTACTGAAAAAGGGTGGAGGAGAAAAACATGACCTTGGCCTGTGTAATAAGCAACCAGGACAAACAGAAAACCCTCAGAAGTTTTCAGGCGTAATACAATGAAGCTAACAACTTCCAATTAACAATAGAAAATTATCTGCAATTATTTTCAGACAATACATCTCATTATTTTGCTTCACATTTGTTACACTAGAAGCAGCTGTCAAAATTGATTATTCATATACAGATAACTGAGAAGTTTGCTCTATTCTGACTTCTGTTTTAGTTCATTTCTCTAGTTAAGGAAGTTAAGGGTGAAGCGAATGAAGAAATGATCTTGTAACGAAGCAGTTCAGCTGTTTTCAACATTAAACACATTCCAGTAACTTAGAAATAATTGCAACTTTACTGGAAAAGCGTGGATAGCAGTATGGATGCAACTATAAAGCTGATTTTGGTTGTACTAAAACCATTACTGCCACCCCAAGTAAATAACCTATGTTGCTAATACAGATGCATCTTCTTTAAAGGTCTCCCACCTACATGGGGTAGCCTAGGCCCAGAACTCTTCACGTGTCGCACAGACCGGATGAGCGACGCCAGCAGAAGCCTGCAGCACGGAGCCACAGGCAGCACTGCAACGTGAAGGCAACACACACACAACTGACACTGTAAAACAGATGCTCATTTACTGCAAAAGAGAGCTGACGGTCTTGAACTGACCAATCAATTGGTGAAGACTGTACGCATCTGGCAAGTCCTTCTCCCTGCCTGTTTTGAAATGTTAACCTCACCTTTACAATGGTGAATCATCACTGCTGCCTACTGTGATACTGCCTAGGATAATCGATCAATACTTACTCACAGGTACCTCTCATGATTTACTTCCCAAAAAAAAAAAAAAAAACCAAATAAACTTGGCACCTCTGATAAAAACCAATAGTAAAAGGATCTCAAAAAAGCCTTCACACCTTGCACAGCATCTGTCAATATTTTTCTTCCTTGTTTGTTTTATTTCACAGAAGTTGTCCTAAAATACGCTAATAAGTGTTGCCAGCGTTGAAATATGCCACACTTCCCATTCTAAGAACTTTTCCCAATACATGGAAGATTGGGTTCTGCTGCACTTCGGTAAATGTGTTTAATACTACTTGTACCAGTAGTACTGCAGCAATAAGAATAACGTAAGGTTACGAATGGATGTTTCTTTTCTTTTGTAAATAACATGACACTGTAACTTAAGGAAATAAAGGCAGAAAGGTGGACTGCATAAAAAGTCTTCCTGCTTAAAAACTGCCTTGGATTTCTGAACTACTCTGAATACGATCAGATTATAAAATTTTATTTTTTTTTTCCTCTTTAATTCTCTCTTGCTCAATAGAAACGTGAAACTCAGAGTTCATTTCATTGTGCCTGCATAAACTCTGGGGAGGGGAAAATGAGCGATCCCACTATTTACCTTAATGAAAGTATCATTTCACACAGTACAGAAACCAAAGTATGTGCTTTGAAAATGTCTAGCAACAAATGCTTTGTGAAGATGTAATGAAAATGAACAATCACAAATAGGAAAGTAAATCCGGTTAAGTAAATGAAAAAGAAATAAATAAAATATAATTACTTACAGTTCTGGTTACATGACTTTTAAAGGCCTCAGAGTTATTGGGCTGCAAAAGAAGAACAATGAATAAAATTGACTTTGTTTTTCCAGAGAGTTTGTTAACTATATTGTAAAAAAATCCTCTCATAATGTATACATATGACAAAAATCAATCATTCAGAAATATACATACATTCTACAGCACTAATCACCAAACCATCTTTCAAAACAGATACATAAAAGGAATTTATTTCACATGATCATCTCGTGAACTCAGATCTTGTAAGCCAGCATTCAGCTACTGAGGGTGGTTCATTCCAAGCTACGACACACAGAGAGGTGTGTGCTAGTTAACCGTGCAACTACTCTTGGGTTTCTCTCATTCCGTACTTCTTGATGAAAACAAACAAACAGGAAAAAAAAAACACGCTTTTATGGGTACTGGTAAAAGAGAACTGTCTGAGATCATTCGTCAAGCACTGTGTGAAATCTCTGCTCAAGGTTTTAAAATGCACCAAGTTGTATCTCTCTGGGTTTAAAAAGAAACCTTTTTAAAAAAATTGCCAATCTATTAATATGAAAATCTAACCTGAATCACTAGAAGTATAATCTTCCATCACTACCTGCTTCTCTAATGATGACTACAATCAGCATTAAATTAAGGTAATATAGTGGGGAAGTACAGCAGAGAAATAGGGTTTAAAGGCCTCAAAATTTTTGCCTAAAACTTCAACAAGGGCAAGACAGTATTTTAGGAGAGAATATACACTCTAGATTAAGGATTTTACCATTAGGGATAAATAGTGGGACAATAACAGAAGCATTTGATCTTGAAAAACCCTCATAAAAATGACAGAACTAAATAGCACTAGAACTAAATAGCTGCCACAGGTTAGAGGAGACTGCATGAAACTTTAATGTTCACAGATATGCAGAAGAGGGAAGAGTCCACTGTGTGCAACAGTTAATGTTTAGCTGCCTAAAAAGATTGCTTCAGAAGACAATTTCAAATTTTGCACAAAAATCAACTAGGTTTTACTCAGAAGACATTAAAGCTAAATCATAGCCAGATCACGTTGCTCCTGTAGTAACAGCTTTCTCATCACAATCCATCCTACGAACTCTCAAATTATTACACAGGCTGGAAAATCTTATGTGCAAGTTTCACACCGAAGGATCCCTTCATCCATCCCTGAAACACAGTCACCTCCGGAGTGAAACCCAGCAGCTGTTAACCCAGCACCCAGTGACACTTCACTAGAGTTTAGGAAGAGAAGCGCAAAACAGTGTCTTACACAAATGAAACCTCAGCTTTATCTTATCCAATTAAAGCATAAACTAAAAGGGGCAAGAAAGGAAGAGGTGAAAAAATAGAGAAGCCTTGTTTCTCCTCTTCATAGATTTCACTGCTACACTAACACACACAGACTAAGTGACAGGTAAAGAGCGACTGGTACTAAAACTTACTTATTTGGAGAGCGCACCCAAAGGGGACGGAGGGAAAAAGTCTCAAGAAACTGCTTTCTGATTCAGACCATCTTAAAACGGCACAAAAAAAGAAAACCCAATTCCTCCTGTTGAATCACCTTGCTGACTGCAGCTGGATCCTCCTGCAACTTCGAGACTGGGAAGTAACTCGCCGCATCGTAGCACTAATAAAGGCTAAAGCAGCACGTACACACACAGGGACACAGTGTTTGCCCAAGCTAGGAGTACCAGCCTCTGCCCAAGGCAGATTACAAATACCCCAGCGTACCTGCACGACCATAAATTTCCACAGAACTGTGTCCCAGAGGCACCAGTATGGGAGAGATCTGAAAAAAAAAAAATCAGACTCCACAGCCTGCCACGTGGAAGATGCTTTGACCCAGAGATACAGCTTTGTAACTATCAACTCTGGTTTTGGCAGGTCACTGAACTGAGGTTCAGTTTCTTACTAGCAGAGACTTCATCATAATACAGAAAACATACACCTGTTGCACATTCAGATTTTATCTAACCTGCAAATGCAGTTAAAGATCTCCAGGCTACAAATTATACTAGCAACACCTTACTTAACTCAGTGAGCCTGCACGCCCTTTAACAGGGCATACATCCTGAACTAACCATGATCCTTACCCAGTTGTGAGATTGTCTTGAATCCTTGAAAATAGGCTCAGAGTGGTTTTATTTTTTGTTTTAAATCATGATTTAGCTAACTGGTAAGGCATAGTTATTTCAACTGGTGTCAAATAACTTACAAGGTACACTTTGATGCATTTTTAATTACTGCTTAGGTGACCAATCAGCCAATAGTTTAAAAAAAGCCAACTCTAACACAGTTGTCATCACTGTGAGAACTCTCATGACAGCAGCTCAACGCTGATTCAGCTAAAAATCTCCCATTTAAGCCTAATTTAAGCCTGATTTAATCAAGGCCAACACACAGCTGAAGCAGGAGCTTTATATTTTATTCAAAGTGCACGCAACAGCAAAAATATCTTTCCTCTGAGCGTTGACTGAACAGCTCTTATTTAGAAGCCAGAATCTGAAATCAATACGTACGTTGATTTTCCTCCTCTCCTAAACAAAGTCTGCCATTCTCAAGCTCACTGACCCAGCGGCAGCTCCTCCCACGTACCAGAAAGGGCACGGATAGCTAAACAGGCTACCTGGCACACCTCTTTCTCTTAAAAAAACTTCTTCTCCCACCTCTCCCTCCTCATCCCGTTCTCATTTTCTATGTCGTGCCTACCAGAAGCTGCACAGGAGGCAGTTAGCTGCCTCCATGCTAGCTGCCGATTTCCACGCACTGCGGGAAGCTCTATGTGAGGCAAGTCCGGACCGCGTGGAGCCCCTTTGTGCTCCCACAACAGACCCAGGCAGAGAATCTCTTCCTTTATTGTATTAGCAAAAACCAATTGGAGAGAACGGGTACAGCTCGTCAACTGTCCAATCTCTACTGTGTTAACGCGCTATGACATCCCATTAGTAACATACAGACTGAGGAGAACTATTAATTCCGCCCAGAAACCCCAAATTGATTGAGAAACCTCAAAGTTGCCAGCAAATGAAAGATGATATGTAAAACAAACACCTTCATCGCTGCAACCTTTAGGAATATGGCTTCACAGTCTCCCTAAGATATGCACTGTAATCGAGCAGAAATAATTGGGCGCGTATAGGAAAAGGCAAAAAAACATTAAATGCAATTTTTGGATTTACTCGGCACTCTCTGTGAGAGCAGAGTAGTGACCTCACGGGTACCCTAGGTCGAGGGCTTGGGAAAGCACACCATGCTCTTTTCAATATAAAGCCAACAGGCATGCTGAACTCAGTATCCGTCCTTCCAGCACAACTAAGCAGCTTATTTGCAGGGTTTTATATAAGATAAAATTAAAAAGCAGGTTTACCTAATGTCTGTCAGTTCAGATGAATATTTTTTGTTATGTTGCTCAGCTTAGCACTGGATTGGTGCAGCACGAAAGCTTTCCAGGCTAATTAACGCATGGCCATGAAGGAGAAGAGGAAGCAAGAGTACCCTCTTCTCCTCATTAATTTTTACTGTTCTAAAACGGTTCTCTACCTTGTTGAGCTACTGGTAAGATGCCTCATATTCTCTCACTCTGCTAGAAATGACAGCTCTCTCCATTTTCCTTCAAAGAGGGGACGCAGAGCGTGAGCAGCACAGAGCTGGCATTAACTATCTCAACTAGCAGGATCAGACTGTTCCTCTCTTCTTCCTGGGGGAGGAAAGGGTGGGGAAAAGGGGACAGCAAGAAGCCAGGCTGACATTAGTCTATGGGATATGCAAGCAAAGAAAAACAAAAAAATATTATGGGGAAAGCCAAATTTTCCGATCTTACGAACTCTGAAAGTCATCTGTCATCCCCTCTATGCCTTCTTACATCTTCCTACTCTATTTTTCTGTATCTCCTTAAACGGGAGCCTCAGTCCTACTCAACTCTTGTCATCTGTTTCCATTTCCTCAGGTCTCTCCCACTCCTCTGTCCAAGTTGGGGGAGACAGCGCAGTAGGCAAGAGACCTGCTACCACCCAAGGGAAGCATCATTGCAAGTTACAGTATCCCATCACATCCCGTGTTGGGGTTGTTTTTCCTAATATTGCCTGTAAAAAGACAAATGCTACTAGTTTCCATTGGGAAACTGAGGCCTATATTAATGAAATGATTTGCTCACTGTAAAACAAGAAATCAAGCAGAACATGAAATATTCAGCCGCTCTACTTTGATTCAATAGAAAGTACTAAACACTTCAATGACAATACGCTATAGACAACGTGCATTGCCTGCGTACCTCACCAACCCCGGCATTTCAAAAATATCAAAGCATTCTTCTCCTTACCTTCCCATAAAGTCAGTTCAAAGCAAATTAGATTCATGTGGTTAAAAGTAAGAAAAGCTTTGCTGTGGAACAAGCAAAATTGTTCAAAGAGCAGAGATTTCTTCAGGAATAACTTCCACCTCACCTCCTCTTCCTGCCAAAAAAAAAGTCATCACAGATTCCTACCAACAACTCCCTTAAAAAGCCCCACCTGAGGAAGAATAAAGATAAAGCCATCAAAACAAAAGATAAAATGCCACTGCTATTTTAAAACACACGCACGCACTTTATCTTCCTTTTAATAATTAAGAACAAGGAACATCCATCAGCTCTTAAATGAATGGGTCAGGAGAGGCTCTACCTCTTTGTTCATTCAAGACACACAGTTTCTTCAACGTTGTTAATATTTGGCTAATCAACAGGGATTAAGTCCATCTTGCCCTTAAAGCTTCTCATTTGAATTCCACTTTAAAGACAACAGAAAACAATGGAACTACTGCTTGCCTCTCTTCCTTCCTGAAATCTGCCATTTAGTGCCATGACATTTTTTCAGGAAACAGCCTTGAGTTCCAATCTCTCTCACTCCAGCTTTTAATAACTTGAAGCGAGAAGAGTCAAAAGCAAGTCTACATGCAAACATTCTACACACACTTTGCTACTTACATATTACCAAATTATTGAGCCAACATGGAAAAAAAAAAACATCTAAAGCAAATTATAGCCGCATATAATTCCTACTATGACAGTGACTTAGAAGAACTAACATTGAATGGAACCTTGTAGACTGAGGGTTGTTAGTTAAGTAATGAGCAAACGTGATCCACTGGTATATAATAAAGTATTATCATACGCCCTCATATATTGTTATTTCAACTAAGGAAGTTAGAACATACATTTGCTTCACAGTTTTGTAGAAAGAGAAGGGGCCACACAGATACCTACGCTTATTGAAGTTAATCCTGACTATGGGAAACGCTGACTTCGAAACTACCGTTATAGGATTAATCTTCTCTGCTTGAAACATGGGTAGCAGCCCTCGGCAGCACTGTAATACTTAGTGATAGAATAACTGAGAATTTTTTTTTTTTTTTTTTTTAAATGTTCAGCTGCCAGACTTTTTAGAGATGGGACTTTTTAGAGAGGTCCTTCTTCCCTCCTACGTGTTCTGCTGTCAAGAAAATAGTTTCAAAGACTAACTAAAAATATACTTGCAAGGGACATGAGATCTCTTATTTCTGAAGACTGCTTTGGTTCAAAGAAAGTCTGACTTTCATTTTATTTTGCATTAGATAAAAACTTCATAGTTGCTGTATTTCAACTTTTCTTAACTCTTGTAATTATCTGATATACCTAAAACAGCATGAGCTCTCCCTCCTGGCAAAGAATGACGGGCCCTTGAATGTAGTATATACTGCACAGCTGATTTCGGGAGAACTATACTCAAATCACACTGAATATGGAAGAAAAACAAAAATCACACAGTTTGATTCTCTGCTCCCTTTCATGGCCGAGTCAGACACACTTATGAACAAGGTATTGGCTGCAGTTTAAAACAATAGTTTTTAATTTCTGCTCTGCAGACCCATGGGGTGCATGGCATTATTCTGAGAAGGATATGAAATGTAAGAACAAAAAGCAAACCCCTTACAAACGCATTATATAGAGGCTCACATCAGCTCCCTTCTGGGGATCCACAAATTCAAGAAAGTTGAAGAGTAATCATGGCAGGTGTTTTCAGATCAGGTAGCAGCTTAATCTTTTGTCGAAAAGCTGTAGCCCTGAGTCCTCATCCCTGCTGATCTACAGCAGTGGAAGAAAGAGGCATTGCTCTAACAAATCAGGAAATCATGAAAAATAGAAAGATTATTGGCTGATGAAGCTGAGAAAAGGGAAAGGAAGAAAAGTACAGCTCAAAATTCAATAGAGCAAAAGTGAATAGCTAGGAAAAAAAACTTTAAGACCTTCAGGGCACTTTTGCTTCCTCTTCAGCGCAGGAAAGCTTTATGAACCAAAAGTGGAGAAAGTCATTTCCATACAACTCTCTCCGAAGTCAACAGATATCTCTGCATGGAGGCACTGGCACTATGGATGATGACAAAGCAGGAACTGAACAGGCACACACAAAACTCGGCTAGATATTCCCACCCTTTGCAAACAAAATGGAGAACACCACTGCGCTTTTGTATTTCCCTTTCTGTCATGTGTAGCCTCGGTCAGAAGATGGGCAGTGATAGCCTGGAGCACTCCCTGGCAGAGGGGCTCTGGTTAGACTGAGGAAAAAAGGCAGGAGAGATGG